CAGGCCCCTACATTGGCTGTCTTCAGAAAGAACTTGAAGACCTGGCTTTTCCGATGCGCCTTCCCAGAGTAGGAAATCTCCACTACCAAGTCCCATAAGCACTTTACCAGAACCAATGACTGCTGCACATCGCACTTGCCCTAGAAGCCCCATATACACCTCCTGTCACATCAGCACTTTTAATTCTTGTACCCATTACTCTGGCCCGGCCCAGTTTTATTGTGTTTTTAGTGTATTGCTTTTTGCCTGTTGTTATTTTGCTTATTCTGTTTTAATTGTTTGATTTGTTTAGATTGTATTGTTATGTTGTGTGTTGAGGCCTTGGCCTGAGAAAGCCGCATCGAATCCTTCGGGAGATGCTAGCGGGGTACAAATAAAGTTTAATAATAATAATAATAATAATAATAACATCAACTTCAAGAGTGATTGGCCCCTGCTGTTGACCCCAAGACAAGGCAGATGCTTATTTGAGAAGTCACACTTGGATGAACCAAAGCAACACTTAGGGAGGAACCCAACAATATAGAGAACCATGTAGTTCCCATTACCCTGCAAGAATAGCTTCACTATTGCTCTCGAGAACAGTACCCCCTTCTGGTGACCGTGAGGCATTGCAATCAATATACAGTTTTAGAGAAGTCACACTTGCACACTGCCATTGGGAAAAAGCAAGGAAAGCAGAGGCCCCATGCAGTGTCCGCAATGAGTCGCCGTTCTAGGCTGAGATATTAGCGGTATACAAGTGTATCAAATAAATTACTATTGACCTCAAGAACAATGCCCCCTACTGTTGACCCCGAGACATTGCGGACAATTTCAAAGAAGCCACACTAGAACACCACCATTGGCAAGAACTAAGGCAAACGGAAGACCCATGTGGTGTCCCATTCTCCCGAAAAAATAGCTTCCCTATTGCTATCAGCCTCAAGAACGACGCCCCTGCTGTTGACACCGGGGCACTGCAGATGCTTTTTTGAGGAGCCGCACTGAGACGAACCAAAGCCACACTTAGGGAAAAACCCAACAAAATAGAGGGCCATGCAACATCCCATGATCCCCTATCATTATTGCTATTGACTTCAAGAATAATGCCCCCTGCTGTTGACCCCAAGGCATTGCAAATAATGTGAGTGAAGCCGCACAAGAACACCACCATTGACAAGAATCAAGGAAAATAGAAAACCGTGCAGTGTCCTAATCTGCTGAAAAATAGAGTTCACTATTACTATCCATTTCAAGAAGGATGCTCCCTGCTGTTGATCCCAAGGCATTGCAGGCAATGTTAGAGAAGCCACACTCGAACATCACCATAGGCAAGAACCAAGGAAAATAAAGGGTCCATGCAGCATCCCATTCCCCACAAAAAGATAGGTTTACTATTACTATCGACCTCAAGAATGATGCCCCCTGCTGTTGACCCCGAGACGTTACAGATAATGTTAGAGAAGGCACACTGGAACACAGAGGTGGCCCTAGGTAATTTTCAATGGTAAGCAAACAGTATTTTGGCACACACATACCCCCCAACCAATCCCAGATATATATTTTCTGTGGGAGTTCTGTGTGCCATATCTGGTTCAATTCCATCATTTGTGGAGTTCAGAATGCTCTTTGATTGTAGGTGAACTATACATCCCAGTAACTACAACTCGCATATGTCAAGGTCTATTTTCCCCCAAGAGTGCCTCAAGAGCGCCCCTGGGCAAAATCAACTATACTGCAAATGCTTACTTTGCGTACTGGGTTGAGCCGCCCCTGCTGGAACACCACCATTGGCAAGGACCAAGGAATAGAGAAGGTCCATGCAGCGTCCCATTATTGCTATCAATGTCAAGAAGGATGCCCCCTGCTGCTGACCCCTAGGCATTGCAGATGCTTTTTTGAGAAGTCAAACTCAGACGAACCAAACCCACACTTAGGGAAGAACCCAACGAAATAAAGGGTCATGCAGCATCCTATTACCTCCTATTGTTCTTGCTATCTACCCCAAGAATTGCAGTTTCTCAAGTTGCTCCTGACACGACAAAAAACCAAAAAAAACCCACCAAAAATGGCGCCCCCTGCTGTTGACCCCAGGGCATTGCAGGAAATTTTAGAGAAGCCACACTTGAACACCACTATCGGGAAGAACCAATGAAAATAGAGGGCTCATACAGTGTCCCATTCCCCTGAAAAAAAGGGTTCACTATTGCTATGGATTTCAAGATGGATGCCCCCTGCTGTTGACCCTGAGGCATTGCAGATGCTTGTTAGAGATGCCACACTCAGACGAACCAAAGCCACACTTAGGGAAGGACCCACAAAAATATAGAGATCCATGCAGCATCCCATTACCCCCCATGCAGCATCCCATTATCGGGAAGAACCAATGAAAATAGAGGGCCCGGACAAAAAGAGTTCACTATTGCTATTGACTTCAAGAAGGGCGCCCCCTGCTGTTGACCCTGAGGCATTGCAGGCAATGTTAGAGAAGCCACACTCGAACACCACCATTGGCAAATGCAGGTCCCATGCAGCATCCCATTCCCCCCCCAAAAAACAGGGTTCACTATTGTTATCGACTTCAGGAATGATGCCCCTGCTGTTGACTCCTAGGCATTGCAGGTTCCTTTTTGAGAAACCACACTCGGACGAACCAACACTTAGGGAAGAACCCACAAAAATATAAAGGTCCATGCAGCATCCCATTCCCCCGAAAAAATGGGGTTCACCATTGTTATCGACTTCAGTCATGATGCCCCCTGCTGTTAACCCCAAGACATTGCAGATGCTTGTTTGAAGTGCCACACTCGGACGAACCAATGCCACTGTTAGGGAATAACCCAACAAGATAGAGGGCCACACAGCATCCTGTTACCCCGTATCGTTCTTGCTATTGACCTCAAGAATGATGCCCCCTGCTGTTGATCCCAAGGAATTGCAGACAATGTTAGAGAAGCTACACTCCAGCATCAAAATCGGCAAGATCCAAGGAAAATAGAGCGTCCATGCTGCGTCCCATTCCCCCCAAAAGTAGGGTTCACCATTGTTATTGACGTCAGGTATGATGCCCCCTGCTGTTGACCCCGAGGTATTGCAGATAATGTCAGAGAAGCTACACTCCAACATCAAAATCGGAAAGAACCAAAGAAAATAGAGGGTCCATGCAGTGTCCCATTCCCCCCAAAAGTAGGGTTCACCATTGTTATCGACGTTGGGCATGATGCCCCCTGCTGTTGACCCCAAGGCAATTCAGATGCTTGTTAGAGATGCCACACTCAGACGAACCAAAGTCACGCTTAGGGATGGACCCACAAAAATATAGAGATCTGTGCAGATCCCATTACCCCCCATCATTCTTGCTATCGACCTCAAGAATGATGCCCCCTACTGTTGACCATGAAGCATTGCAGATAATATTAGAGAAGACCCACTCAACACAACCATTGGCAAATGCAGATCCCATGCAGCATCCCATTCCCCCGAAAAAATGGGGTTCACCATGTTATCGACTTCAGTCATGATGCCCCCTGCTGTTAACCCCAAGACAACGCAGATGCTTGTTTGAAGTGCCACACTCGGGCGAACCAATGCCACTGTTAGAGAAGAACCCAACAAGATAGGGGGCCACACAGCATCCTGTTACCCCGTATCGTTCTTGCTATTGACCTCAAGAATGATGCCCCCTGCTGTTGACCCTAAGGTATTGCAGATAATGTTAGCGAAGCTACACTCCAACATCAAAATCGGAAAGAACCAAGGAAAATAGAGGGTCCATGCAGCGTCCCATTCCCCCCAAAAGTAGGATCCACCATTGTTATTGACGCCAAAAGGAGGATTCACCATTGTTATTGACGCCAAAAGGAGGATTCACCATTGTTATTGACGCCAAAAGTAGGATTCACCATTGTTATTGACGTCAGGCATGATTCCCTCTGCTGTTGACCCCGAGGTATTGCAGGTAATGTTAGAGAAGCTACACTCCAACATCAAAATCGGCAAGAACCAAGGAAAATAGAGGGTCCATGCAGCGTCCCATTCCCCCCAAAAGTAGGGTTCACCATTGTTATTGACGTCGGGCATGATTCCCTCTGCTGTTGACCCCGAGGTATTGCAGATAATGTTAGCGAAGCTACACTCCAACGTCAAAATCGGAAAGAACCAAGGAAAATGGAGCGTCCATGCAGATCACATTCCTCCCAAAAGTAGGGTTCACCATTGTTATTGACGTCAGGCATGATGCCCCCTGCTGTTGACCCCAAGGCATTTCAGATGCTTGTTAGAGATGCCACACTCAGACGAACCAAAGTTACAATTAGGGAAGAACCCAACAAAATAGAGGTCCATGGAGCATCCCATTACTCCCCATCATTCTTGCTATTGACCTCAAGAATGATGCCCCCTGCTGTTGACCCCGATGTATTGCAGATAATGTTAAAGATGCCACACTTGGATGAACCAAAGCCACATTTGGGAACAACCCACACAAATATAGATATCCATGCAAAATCCCATTACCCCCCATCATTCTTGCTATCAACCTCAAGAATTATGCCCCCTGCTGTTGACCCCAAAGCATTCCTGATAATGTTGGAGATGCCACACTTGGACGAACCAAAGCCACATTTGGGAACAACCCACAAAAATATAGATATCCATGCAGAATCCCATTACCCCCCATCATTCTTGCTATCGACCTCAAGAATTATGCCCCCTGCTGTTGACCGCAATGTATTGCAGATAATGTTAGAGAAGCCACACTTGGARGAACCAAAGGTATATTTGGGAACAACCCACAAAAATATAGATATCCATGCAGAATCCCATTACCCCCCATCATTCTTGCTATCYACCMCAAGAAGGATGCCCCCTGCTGRTGACCCCAAMGRATTGCAGATAATGTTAGCAAAGCCACACTGWAGGAAAGCAGAGGATGGGAAGTCCCCCTGTCCCCACACAATGAGGCCTTGGAGGGGGTCAGGGCCCCTCTTTTTTGGGGCGCAAGACTGAGGAAGACTTACCCGGCGTCTTCTCCAGCCGGCCCTTTCGCCCCCCGCACAGCCTGACTTTGGAGATGAGGAAGAGCAGCTGTTTCTGGCATAGGGACTTGGTGCCCCGTGGGCAGACCTTCCTTTGGGTGGAGACGGGCCGGCTGGCTACGGGGTCCCGGATCTCCCGCTTCTGCCGGATCAGGGAGCTGGCTAGCGCGGCCATAGCTGCCCCATCCGGGGGCAAAGGGCAGCAGGCCCAGGAGGGCGAGGGGGATCCGAACCCAGGCCCCTTCTCCTCCTCCTCCTTCTTGGCTTCTCTTCTTTCCTGGATGAAGGGTCAACTTGTCTCCAAAAGTCGGGTTCCTCCTGCCGGTTCCGGAGATAAGGACAAAACCCAAGGTCTGACCGAGAAAGAGAAGAGACATAAAAAGAGAGAAAAAAAAAATATATATACCGATACAGAATAACCTATATCAATATATAGCACCGCTTCATCAATATCAACGTATAGAGACGAGATGCCATCTCTCACATCCGGCGATGGCAAAAGTCCTAAGAAAGACCGGGTGGCGAAAAAAGAGAAAAGAGGGTGGGTTCTCTCCGGCTTGATCCCATTCGTGCTCCTTGAGTCGTTCTTTCTCTTTTTCTCTCTCCCCTTCTTTTCGTTCTTTCTTTCCTCTCTCTCGCTTCTGTTCTTTCTTTCTTCTCTCTCTGTGTTCTTTCTTTCTTTCCTCCCTTCTTTCTTCCTCTCTGGGAAAAGGTGGGGGAGGCGCAGAGGAGGAGACCCCGATGTCCTTCAGAGCTTGGGAGGTTAATTAGGAAGGGAGGATGGGGAAAGGGATGCCAGCGGAGGGAGAGAACCAAAGGAAGAGAGAGAAAAGGGTAGGTGGGTGGCTGGCTGGGAGGGGGACCTGGCCAGCGATGCTAACCCAAGCGTGCAAGGGCGTGTTTGGAGTGTGTGCGAGTGTGCGGTTGTGCAAGGGAGAGTGTGTTTGGGTGTGTGAGTGTGTGGCGGGGATGGAGGAGCAAGGGAATGGAGCAGACGAAAAGGGAGGGGTGGGAAGGGATGGAGAAATGGAGAGAGAGAGAGAGAGAGAGAGAGGGATTTTGTCACACTCGCACAGGACAAAGCCAGCCAATATGGGGAAGGCATTAGTCTCAATTTGGGGACCAAGAAGAAGGCACCCGGAAAGAGAAACCACCCTCTTTTATCCCTTTTCTCCATCCCTTCTTTCCTAGGACTTTTGGCATTGCAAGGTGGGATCTTGTCCTAGCAATCCTATATATTGATATATTATATATATATAGTCCTGTGTGACTTTTGGCATTGCAAGGTGGGATCTTGTCCTAGCAATCCTATATATTGATATATTATATATATATAGTCCTGTGTGACTTTTGGCATTGCAAGGTGGGATCTTGTCCTAGCAATCCTATATATTGATATATTATATATATATAGTCCTGTGTGACTTTTGGCATTGCAAGGTGGGATCTTGTCCTAGCAATCCTATATATTGATATATTATATATATATAGTCCTGTGTGACTTTTGGCATTGCAAGGTGGGATCTTGTCCTAGCAATCCTATATATTGATATATTATATATATATAGTCCTGTGTGACTTTTGGCATTGCAAGGTGGGATCTTGTCCTAGCAATCCTATATATTGATATATATTATATATATATTCCTGTGTGACTTTTGCCATTGCAAGGTGGGATCTTGTCCTAGCAGTCATATATACTGATATATTATATATATATAGTCCTGTGTGACTTTTGCCATTGCAAGGTGGGATCTTGTCCTAGCAATCCTATATATGTGTGTGTGTATGTATGTGTGTGTGTGCGTGCGTATGTGTGTGTATGTATGTATATATATATATATATATATATATATATATATATTCCTCTTCTCTGTCCTCTCAGGAAAACACAATTACAGGTTTCTTTTTTTGGGGGGGGGGGGAGTTGATGGCTTACAAAGTGGGGTACCCCATTAGAAGGAGACCCTCCCCATGGAGAGAGAGAAAGAATATATATATATATATATATATATATATATATATATGAAGACCCATGGAAAGGAGACCCTCCCCATGGAGAGAAAGAATATATATATATATATATACACACACATACACACACACACATACATACACCATATATATATACCATATATATACACACCATATATATATACACCATATATATATATACACACACATACACACACACCATATATATAGCACATATATAGCGTATATATATATATATATATATACCAAATATATATACCATATATATATATATCTTGCAATGATTAAGGGATACAGATACCTGGACCTGTCCTTCCAAGTGTCCCAGCCTGATGCAACCAGAGATAGAGCTGCAAATAATTACATTATTTTTTCCCCCATTGGAAGGGATGATAGGACCCCAATAACTGGGAAGGGAACGAGGGAAGGAGGAAAGTGATAAGAAGGAAAAGGGCATTTCTGTCAAGGAGCCTTGGAAATCTAATGAGTCATGATAAAGGGAGCGGGGGTGGGGAATAAAAGGGGGGGGGCTTTCCCAAAGTCAAAGGGGATTCCGGAAGGGAAGGTCTATGGATTGAAATGTAAACATTTAGGGGAAGGAATGGGAGTGGGAGGAGCATGATAGGGATCCCCTGCTAATAATCCCCCATGCAATTATTGGGGTATCCCTTGGATTGCCCCCTCCCCAATGAATTGGGAGTTTGCAGACAGCGCCCCCTAGAGGATGCACTTTCTCCCCATGATACGAATGGCGCCCCCTAGAGGGAGACTTTGGGAGCAACCTTACTATAGATTTTGGGTTGCCCCCTCCCCAATGAATCAGCCAATCGGGAGTTTGCAGACAGCACCCCCTTGAGGCTGCTCTTTCTCCCCATGATACGAATGGCGCCCCCTAGAGGGAGACTTTGGGAGCATCTTTACTTTAGAATGAATGCCGTCCTGGGAGTTGTAGTTCTGCAAGGCCTTTCGCCTTCCCTGCCAGAAAACATTGGCGTCTCTTCAAAACTACAAGTCCCAAGTTGCCATTTTTAGAGACATAGCTGTTCAAGTTTGACACTACTTTCACCGCCATGGCTCAATGCTCTCAAATCCCGGGAGCTGTAGTTTGACAAGGTCTCTATCCTTCTTGAACTCTTGCGGCTCAATGCTATGGAATCTTGGGAGTTGTAGTTTGGGGAGCCTCCCACCAACACTCTTGGTCACTCTTGGAAAACTAAAACTCCCAAATTGTATTGTCGAAGGCTTTCATGGCCGGAATCACTGGGTTGTTGTAGGTTTTTCTGGGCTATATGGCCATGTTCTAGAGGCATTTTCTCCTGACGTTTCGCCTGCATCTATGGCAAGCATCCTCAGAGGTAGTGAGGTCTGTTGGAAGTAGGAAAATGGGTTTATATATCTGTGGAATGACCAGGTGGGGCAAAGGACTCTTGTCTGCTGGAGCTAGGTGTGAATGTTTCAACTGACCACCTTGATTAGCATTTGATGGCTTGGCAGTGCCTGGGGCAATCTTTTGTTGAGAGGTGATTAGATGTATTCTCTGTTGTTTTGCTGTTGTAATTTTAGAGTTTTTTTAATATTGGTAGCCAGACTTTTGTTCTTTCTGTTGAAATTGTCCACATGCTTGTGGATTTCAAATGCTAATCAAGGTGGTCAGTTGAAACATTCACACCTAGCTCCAGCAGACAAGAGTCCTTTGTCCCACCCTGGTCATTCCACAGATATATAAACCCATTTTCCTAGTTCCAACAGACCTCACTACCTCTGAGGATGCTTGCCATAGATGCAGGCGAAACGTCAGGAGAAAATGCCTCTAGAACATGGCCATATAGCCAGAAAAACCTACACCAACCCAACTCCCAAACTCCCATAGCATGAGTCATGAGAGTTAAAGTGGTGTCAGCTTGCATTCGTTTGGCAGTGTAGATGCACCCTTGGATTTAAACGATAAGAGATTCCACCAAAATACAGAACTAGATGATGATAATTTCTAGTTCTCAACAAAAGATTGCCCCAGGCACTGCCAGGCCATCAAATGCTAATTAAGGTGGTCAGTTGAAACATTCACACCTAGCACCAGCAGACAGGAGTCCTTTGTCCCACCCTGGTCATTCCACAGATATTTAAACCCATTAAAAATACAGAACTAGATGATGATAATTTTTTAATTACCTATCTCTCCTTGCAATTCAAGCCTTTGGTTCTTCCTTCCAACTCTAGGATTTGGATTCTCTAGAGCAGTGTTTCTCAACCTGGGGGTCGGGACCCCTGAGGGGGTCATGAGGGGGTGTCAAAGGGATAGCAAAAGACCATCAGAAAACACAGTATTTTATGTTGGTCATGTGGATTCTGTGTGGGAAGTTTGACCCAATTCTATTGTTGGTCGAGTTCAGAATGCTCTTTGATTGTAGGTGAACTATAAATCCCAGCAACTACAACTCCCAAATGTCAAGGTCTATTTTCCCCAGACTCCACCAGTGTTCATATTTGGGAATATTGATTTTTCATGCCAAGTTTGGTCCAGATCCACCATTGCATGAATCCACAGTGCTCCTCTGGATATAGGTGAACTACAACTCCCAATCTCAAGGTCAATGCCCACCAAACCCTTCCAGTGTTTTCTGTTGGTCATGGGAGCTCTGTGTGCCAAGTTCGGCTCAAATCTATTGCTGGTGGAGTTCAGAATGCTCTTTGATTATAAGTGAACTATAAATCCCAGCAACTGCAACTCCCAAATTACAAAATCAATAATCTCCCAACCCCACTAGCATTCACATTTGGGCGTATTGGGTATTTGTGCTCAATTTAGTCCAGTGAATGAAAATACATCCTGCATATAGGATATTTACATTACGATTTATAACAGTACTAAAATGACAGGTATCAAGTAGCAACGAAAACAATATTATGGTTGGGGGTCACCACAACATATGGAACGGCATTAAGGGGTCATGGCATTAGCAAGGTTGAGAACCACTGAACTAGGTGATGATGATACTTTTTTGATTACCTATCTCTCCTTGCAATTCAAGCCTTTGGTTCTTCCTTCCAACTCTAGGATTTGGATTCTCTAGAGGTTTTTAATCAGAGGCTGGGAGGCCGTCTGTTGGGAAGGTTTGGATGGTGTTCTCCTGCCTGGCAGGAGAGGGTAGGACTAGATGGCCTTTGGGGATCCCTTCCAACTTCTAGGATTTGGAGGTTTTTTTAAAAGCAGAGGCCTGTCAAGAAGGGATTTGATGGTTGGACTAGATGACCTTTGGGGGTCCCTTCCAAACTCCTAGGATGGAGAAAGAGAAAGAAGTCCCTGAGCGCGTACAGAGCGCCCTTCCTTCCCCATTAAACTCCTGGATCAGGCGAAAGGGCAATTCCTCGACCGACGGAGGCGTCTTCCAGGAGAGTTGTGTCCCAATTAAGTGTTGACACTACACACAAACCCAGCCACTCTCCCCCTGAAGTCGCCTCCTCCCGCCTCTCTTTGCAAGGCTGGCCTGCGGATCGATGCAAAAGCAGGACAGTTGTTGGAGAGGTCGATAAAAGCGCCACAGATCTATTATGGGATGCCACCGGCTGCAACAGGAGGTCTGCATCTAGTCTGCACCCTGGATTTAATGCAGTTCGGCCCCATTTTAATCGCCAAAGGCACCATGCTATAGGATTATGGGAGTTGTGGAATGCATGGGGGTTGTGGTTTTGCAAGGCCTTTCGCCTTCTCTGCCAGAGTGCAAACTACAGTGAAAACGAGAAAACTACAAGAGAGGAGATTCCATCTGAACATGAGGAAGAACTTCCTGACTGTGAGAGCCGTTCAGCAGTGGAACTCTCTGCCCCGGAGTGTGGTGTAGGCTCCTTCTTTGGAAGCTTTTAAACAGAGGCTGGATGGCCATCTGTCAGGGTGATTTGAATGCAATATTCCTGCTTCTTGGCAGAATGGGGTTGGACTGGATGGCCCATGAGGTCTCTTCCAACTCATTGATTCTATGATTCTATGAGATCAAATTGCATTAAATCT